TGTTAGCAGAACTGTTTTGAAATGAGTGGGTCAAAACAATGGTGAATCTGAGAGGGTAGTTGTGCAGAAGCCAGATCTGAGAGAAAGTTCCTGAGCTGGCAGCGACCTGAAATGCTCAAGTCTAAAGATTCAGCAAGGTTGAGGTGGATTATAGGCCTTGGTTATTGAGCAAAGAAGATGCAGGAGCATCTTGGTGATAGTTTAGTCCTGGAGTCAGTCCAGAAGTGGCTGAGATCCAAGAGTCAGTCTGTGGAAGTTGAGAGTCTTTGATTTGCGTGCATTTGTTTCTGACCCTAGACTATTCTGGCCACCACTTGGGACCTCAGTTCAGTGTTGTGTTTTACCTATCTTGCTTCTCCTCTCCTTCTCCTTACCTTTTATTCAACCAAAAGGCAAAATCTATTGCTCTGTCAATTGCTAGTTGTTCTCTTGCTTTATGCGACTCCTTGAAACAAAGACACTCTCAAGACTTGGGTTTGTCCAGTACAGGTTTATGGCACTGTAAGCATTATCATCTGATTTTAGTTTGCCATAACTAACATTTTTATGGAAAAATAAAAATTACATTAACTGGGGAGGCATGAATTTTATTTCTGAAGTGCTTTTACCCAATATCAGCATTATGACACAGTGTTCCTGTTATATTCCTCTCTTAAAGGAAAGCACCACTTTTGCTTTTGCAATGTGACTTACAACTTACATGTATTGATTTAGGGTTGCATTTTATTTAGTATATTTAATGCAGTAATATAGTAATATATAATCCCCTAAAGTTATTCCTGTTTTTCCTGGTTTCCTGTGACATATCCCTTCAAGGGTTAATCAGTTCACTCCTGGTGCTAATGGCATAAGATGATGTGTACTCAAGTGCATATTCAGTAAATAAACTTTTTTGTAGTGAACTGCTCTGGTGGGACGTGTCATCTGTCAGGCATGTGGGTAGGTTTGAAGGTGTGTCTTAACTTTGGAAGTTGATTCAGACCTTGAACTGCAGCAGCTGCTGAGATAACTAGTTGCCCATGTGTCTGGGGGCGCAGCATTCTGTATGAGGTAACACAGGTGCCCTGCTACGTTCTGGCCCTGCTTTACTTCTGCAAGAGCCTCAAAAGGTAGCTCTGTTGCACCTGGGGAGCAGGGACTGCAGGGCTTTTTTCCTGGTGCTGAATCAGCCTCTAATTTTAGCCACTGCTGGATTTCCCCTGGACTGTGTTTGGTCTGTCTGGCTGTGTCTTTGAGGTCATAATGTTCTGAAGATCCACTGAAAAGTTTCATGTAAGTTACCCAATTCACAGCCTTGCATCTGTAATCTGCGTGGTCTAATCATTCCATTCTGGTCTACTGCTAGACTAAGGCTTTGTGCGTGTGATGATACAGTGACACATTGTCTCTTCTCCGCACTGTGGAAGAGAAGGAATGTTTTAAAATTCTGGCATGATTCTTCAGAGGGACAGAGCAGATTGATGTAACGGGTTCTGACAGGTACTGTGTAAACACGTTAAAAACAGGCAGGGAGCACTGCTGTGCGCGGTCAGCCTGCAAGTCCTTGGAGGGTTCTCACTGAGAATAAAAAGGAGCTTGGGTTTGTGTTTGGGAAGGGGAGGAAGTTGTTTGTCAAGGCCTTTCTCCTTGTATTTTCTGTTAGATTTTTAGGTGTCCATGCTCATTTTTGTCTTCAGAATATTGGAGTTAAGATAACTTAAAAACATTCTTACAGAGTTTGTGTCTCCGTAGCCAATGTGAAGAATAAAAAATGAAAGTTTAACTTGCACTAAATCTATTTGTACATAATACTGGTAAACATTATGGGTACTGACACAATTTATTTCGTGTCTTGGAGCCTTTGTATCATAGAGTGAATATAGCCTAAGGTAAATGGCTACAAAACACAAGAGCTTGGTCTTGCTTTTGGATAACTGATAATTAGATCGCTTATTTGGAAACAGAATTTTTTTGTGTTTGAGGTAAGAACAATATTAGGCAGATGATGAGGTATATTATCTGCAATAACAAGGATGGATATCTGTCAGGGCAAACCCCTCCCTTGATCACATAGCTGTGCTTTGTTTGCTTCAGTCGTCCTTGTGTCACTCTGATTACTGGTGTTAAGATTATTTCCTTCTATAGAAACAGTAGAACAGAGTATTAAGAGAAGACCCACTTGAAAGTCCTAGAAGAACAGTTTATCTTTTATGAAGCAGAATTTCTTGGTGGGACTGAAGCTGTTGAACCAGTGAAGATAAAACTGACTTCATTTAGTCATAATATTAAACAAAGTTGTAATTAAGTATGGAGATCAAAATATGTTTGATGATATTCTGAAAATGCTACAGGCTCCGTGGTTTGTGATGTGAAAACTGAAATGATAATAGCTTTAGATGACATGAAGAGTTTCTACATGCACTTGAAAGAAGAAGAAAAAACCCTGATTTTGAGGAAAATGGATGATGACAGCACTCATATTCTGAAACCGTTCCACTGACAACACTGTATTCTAGCATTTCAAGTAATAACTTGTCATTGTGTCAAATGAGAGGTGGTAACTGAAGATCATGGTAACTAAATTAGAGTCAAGTTAGTTTTATAACTCTTTTTTTCTTTGGTTTAATTTATGCAAGTGTTTTGCTTCATTTTTTTCAGAGTTCTATCAGTTTTGTTTGAAATGTTTTATAACATCTACCACTAAATTTTTGGGAGGGTGATAGTACTACTGTTGTTTTGATTATTGTACCTTTGAGTATTTAATCATTCTCCTTTAGCAGGATGTGAGTATCTCTACTAATCATTGTTTCCAGACATGTTGAAAAGTTTGTTAGTTTTGAATGGGTTTGTTAATTTCTTTCACAATATTGATTTTAAGATAGACAGTTAAAAAGTGGCTGGTGAAATGGTCTTTCTTGCTTAACAGTGTGACATAATGACTGCCAGGAAAGTCATGTATTCTGAGCTTTCCTTGATTTCAGTTTGGCTGTTCTACAAAATGAATTCACTTCAGTAAAAGTCCGCTGAATTTTCACTTAACGTGAAGCTTTACAGAAAATACTTACTTGGTTTTTTATTATGCACAGGTATTTTTATAGTTTTCTTGTGATAAAAAAGCTACAGGCCTAGATCTGCTGATTTGGGTTTTTGTTATTTTCTTGTTGGGGTTCTCCCCCCCCACACTGTTGGCAGATTGCCCCAAAATGTGAAGGAATATGCAGGACATACACTTTTCTAGTGCTGTAGTGGCAGAGTGAGTATCTTTCTTTCCTCATCTAACATAGTTTTAAAGGATGCTCTTTTTTATATATACAGTAGTGAAGACTTAACTAAAAGCAGTGTATGGCAGACTCTGGCATTCCATTTGTGATGTGGAATGTCCATTTATGAGCTTTACTTCTGATTTTGCTTTCAGGCTTAAGATCAGAAACTTTTTATATCTTTAATTTACTTCAATGAATTGTGGAGGTGACTGCCCTACATAATGCACTGTTTGGTAAAGCAGAAGTTGTTGGTTGGGCTGGCACAGAGCAGGGAGAGGGATTTAGCTAATGATGTTGCAGTACCTCAGCTAAGAGATATATTCCCGTGGATTTAATAGGGGGAAAACAGGGGTTTGATTTTTATATCGTCTGACCTGGAATGGCTTGTTCAAGAAAGCTGCATTTAAATTTAACTGAAAAGATTACTGACCTGACACCATTTAGCTGTAGAACAGGAGTTGCATGAGCACAGAACACAGTGAGAATTCCATCTTTTCCCAGTTCCTGCTTGCACACATACGTGATGGAGAATCCCATTTCTCTCTCAAACTGATTTTTCAGTGCACTTCTAATGATTCTGCTTAGAAACACTTTTCACACTGCTTTCTGCGTCTGAAGTAGACTCACTACAAATACAGGAAGCACCTTGTCCTCTGTGGTTGTAAAGTGGTGTGTGTCTACAGCTTCCTATGCGTAATAACCTGAACTGCCTCCTGGGAAGCAGTAACAAAGTTGTTATTTAGCTGTTAGTTTGGTTTGCTCCTTTTGTGAGTCGCTATTTTAGTGGGTGCAGTCAGCAGGGGTTGAGAGACAATAACAAGTGACTTCGCCTTCGGTCCAAGGGGAAAATGCAGTTTGTTTGCACAAAATGCTATTGTCTCCTAAATGTGGTCAGCTGGAAGGAACTGAGCTCTGTGCCCATCAACAGGTCTCTTAGTCTATTGCTGATGACAGTATGAACCTCACACAGCAAATCTTTCTTTAAGCAAAGGGTTCAGAAGAACAGAAAAGGAAGTCTGTGACTTTAGGAGTTTTAGAAAGCCATTCCCACAAAGTCAGAACAGCTCTGGGCCAACAGGAAGGAACTAGTATGAAATACCAGTTTCTCTGGGTATGTGCCTTTCCCTGCTCGTGCTGGTAGCAGGGAAGGATTTAATGCAAAAGTTCTTGTATGGCTCTATGACAAGGAGAAATCCCAGAACGTGAGGAAGATTGTATTTTGTTCCATACAGAACAGTACGGAGATGGAATGCTTCTGATGCAGCTAACTTTATTTTACTTTTCATGAACATTTGTAAATAACTTCTTCCATTCCCCAGGTATGAACTGAAAATGCAGTTTTTCTCAAGGAGCCTGGTATGCCAGGAAATAAAAGAACAAATAAGACCTTCGAGAAACTAGCAAATGTGCAATGTATTTTTGGGTGTAGTTAAAACTGACTAAAGCAAAGGCCTTTGAATCAAAGATGGAGTTTTCTCTAGTGTGCTTGGATATATGGCAATGTTTATGTTTCCATTCTTCTTCCAAAAAATACAAATTCTTAAAAGCCATGTTAGTATACTGTATCATCTTTAGATAAATGATCCTATTTGTATGGGATGATAGCTAATCCATTCGTTAGTTTGTAAATATGAATAGGTATTCAGTTCTTGCTGAACAATAAAATTAAACATATTTTCTTCCTATAGTATCTATGTCTTGTTCCTGCTCTCCCCGTCCCCATTAGACTAAATGTCTTTGGTTTATTTTTCTTCATAGATTGAAATGCTAAGGAAGAAAGTGAAAGAAAAGGAATTATTCATAGTACAGCTTTTAGAAAAAATCTCTTTCTTAGAATGTGAGGTAAAGTATTAACTTTTACATTTATATTATTGTGATAGTTTTATGAAACCAAATAAAATTTGGGCTAATGTCATCTGATGTTACATGGATGCATATCTACTATACGTATTTGCTGTTCTTCAGTATGGAAATCAAACTTAGGACACCAGTAACATGAAGAATGTATGTAATGCAGTGTCTCAATAGTCAGGCTAAGTTTCTTACCATAAAATTTTATAACAGTTGTTATAACAATTACTCAAAATAGAAGCTACTGAATAAAACTGTTGGTTTAGTTTATATTTTTTCCCAGAATTAAGGATTCCTTTTTCTCAATAAATACTTTTACATTATTTAATGTGGATTAAGCCAATGTGCAGTTTTATTTCCTTGTTTAATTAGCACAATATAAATAAAATAACCATATGAAATGAAAACTACTGTTTTCCAGAATAAAGAATTACAAGATAAGCTGGACTACTTAATGGAAAACCAACCAAAGACCAATATAGAAACCAGAGATACTGGTGTAGGATGTGATCTTCCATACAGGTATTGACTTTTTCTGCTTGTTCATAGGAAAGTTCTTCATAATCTCCCTTATAGGTGCTGTATTAGTAAACCATTGTGCTAAACTGTTAGAGTGGATTGTGGAGGTTTACAAAATTTTCCTGTTTAAAAGAGTACATCTACTAGGTGTAGGGTACTTCAGTGACTTACGCAAACCCTTGGGGAGTACTTATATACACTGACGTGATTTAAGCAGGGAGTAAAAGAAGTCAAGAGATATGACTTTGTGAAATATGGGAAATATTGACAAATTGTGTCATCTGGCAGCACAGAAGAAGACAATGGACAACTCTACCCTGAGGCTGGTTAATGCTGGCTTCATGCATGCTTTATTATTTGTGTTCCGGGAGATGCATCCAGGACCATTTTCAAGGGCAGGTAACACCAACAGTAACAGTTTAGGGCTGCAGCAATTTCTTGGAGATATCCTAGCCCTAGGTGGCAGACTGTCAAGTAAAGAGTGTGGCAACATTACCCCTTCTGCACTGGGGTGGTTGTCTCTGATCTGTAGTGGCCAGTGGCTCTGTAGCCTTGGCTTCTCCTCTCCTTTCTCTGCCCTGAACACTGCAACAGGGTTGCACTAAGCCCTGGGAGCAAGGCTATGGACTTGCACTTGAATTTTCCCCCTGTGGAAGGGGGAAAACAGAAACCAAAATAATAAGGTGAGAAGGACCATTGCACATTATTTTTACAACCAACAAGTAACTTGTTCATCTTAACTGCCCTGCGAACTAAATCATTTAGTTTGAGCAATGGAAATTAGCAAATGAAATCAGCAAGCTGCAATACAAGCTAAAATTTCCTTCCCAGTTAATAAATACTCTCATTTCAGTGTTCAGCCTAGAGCATATTTTAATGGCATGAGTTTTGAAACTTCAAAACCAGTGTTTTTCACTTAGGGTACCAACAGAAAGCTCTCTTTGTTGTCCTCTCTGGGGCCCCTCTGTATGTAACTGCAGCCCCTACTTACCTGGTATTTTTCCTGGTTTTGAGATTTACGTAGAAATTTGCCTCTGTGCAGTTCAGATTTTATGGAATCACTCTTCCAAATTAATTGTGTTCTTAAATGTAATATTGCTGTCTTTATTGCTACAGGATCTTTAGTCCTAGTAACTGTATTGCTGGACATTCCAGTAAGAGCTGCAGCAGATGTCTGCCTGTAAACTCAGTATCTGGTTTTTATCAAATGTTCTTTGTGGCAATAGAGAAAAGAAGTATGGAACATACCAAATACTCTGAATAGTTTAAATTTAGCCTGTCGATATCAATAATGAGGCACAAGTTCATTGCCATGGCATTTCCAGTCTAGCTGTCTGATACTCTGACATAACTCTGGCTTAACTCTGTAAGCTTTTTGTTGTCTCCTTAACAGTTCAAGTACTGAGAATGGAAGATCTCCTGAAAGCGCAAGGCCGGTGAGGACATACACCCCATTCAAGAGAGTGCTGGAGTTTAGCACAAAGAACAGTACATCTTGAGCATTCAAGTCTTTCACTGCTTTCTAAATACAAGCAAATACCTTGCGCCTTTGCAGCTTGATTAGATAAATTTTTATCAAGTCATAGAGAAGAACAGCAGCATGGAGTCTTGCTAAATTTATCCTGAAAGCAGCTTTTTAGTAACTTCCTGTCTGAAGTTACTATGGACATTAACTGTGGAGGGGATGTGAAAGAGGTGGAATGAGTGAAACAGCAGTCAATATTGCTTCTTTAGAAGCTGGATAGTGCAATGTGTCATTTCAAATGCCTGTAAGGAAGGAGTTGTATAGTTGTACAGGTCTTTTGTCTTCAACTATGTTGTAATTGTTTGTATAATGAAGCTCTAATATATTTTATTTTCAATGCAACTAGAAGCAGCACCTGAAACTATGCTGTCAGAGGGCGTTAGTCTGAAAGTTCCCCCTTTGTGTACAAAGTGTGAGGGCTGTTCATGCCTGTCATACAGACCTGCTATACTTGAGGGCTCTCTTCACCTGGAAGAAGTCCACTCCTAACCAGCACTCTTGTGCTTGGAGGGAGAGACGCAACTGGGCTATTTAAAACAATTCCCTCAACGCCTGCAGATGAATATCATGTTTGTTGCTCAAAACAGTAAGTGATAGAGCAGGTTATAACAGATTTTGCTTTGTTGGACTGAGGCACTGGTTTGCACTTCCTTGGTCATGGGGCAGCATGACTATTGGTGATACATTCAATAGTAATCGTGTAGGAAAATCCCTGTCACATTTTTTATTTACTTTTCCATTAGAGGAAATGAAATGAAGCAGAATTTTGCCTACAGCAGCCTGCAGCAGTCCCTGCAATTCCTGCAGCAAAAGCAATCCTGAGTCAGGATTCTGATTTTTGAGTACTCTTTTTTTTCTTTCCCCCGAAGCACTTCAAATCTTATCCTTGACCTCAAAGTACCAGCACGAATGATTGCATCTAGTGCTGGACTTCATTTAAATAGACACACAGGGTATTTTTTTACATCTTGTTTTGATCTCCCACTCTCAGTGAACTAAAACGAATTATGAATATTTTCTTGTAGTTCTATTAACATGAATGAAGGGCGGGTTTTTTTAATTACAGTATCTGATACAGAAAACAAACAACTTTCATTTTGTATGATTCATATCATTCTTGCATTTGAATGTCAATCCTGGGAGGTACTCACCTTGCCACAGGGCTTTACAAAGTGATTGCTTTTATCTCCAGTCTAATGCAAGTTCCTAAATTCAGTACTCTCTGTTCAAATTAAGTATACTTAGTAGAGTTGTATTTAAAACAATAATATTGACCTCATAATCCAAATCTAACTCCTGCATTATCTCATGGGTTTCTGGATTTGTTAGATAACTTTGTTTATTGTCTAGCTGTGCTTTTTAACTGCTACAGGAGGATGGATTGAAGGATGTTTTGATGTGGTACAGGAATCTTGCAGGAACATGAATTGCTTGATATAATCAAGGCATATACATAATAAAATGGGAAGCTCAGACTTCCCCAGCTTTTGTGTTAGATCATCCCCTGTTTGCACGTAAGCTAGTTTTTTCCTCATGACCTCTTCTACTCCTGAGAACTTAAACTGGTCGTTCTTTCTAAAGGGATTGGTTTATGCACAGAATTCAAGACATAATTGCAATGAAAGCCAGTAACAAAAAAGTAAACTCTCTGTGTGAAGGAAGCCGCTGATCTTCACTGATATGGAAGTCACTGATATGAACAGCTGCTCAATGCTGCTTTTAAAGATTGTAATTAAAAAGTACATCGTTAGTTTTAATAGCTCTAAAAGGAAACTTTGTTTACTTTGCATGTGCTGAGGGAGTGCAGAAGATCTCGTAGATATCAAAAGGGCAAAGAAACCCCTCCAGCTGTCACATCAGTAAGCAGGCTTAATACTGCATATTTGCTTAAATAGCTTCTCCCAGAGAAGAGGTGCAAAATCTCTCGAGTGGGAAACCACTGGAATAGTAGGTCCCCAAGAATAAAGTCTGCTCCTTATAAAAATAGTCCTCATACAGAGCACCCTCTCATTATGCAAAGCAGAGGAGTTGTCTTGCACCTGAATACCAAAGACTTGGAAACAGCTGACACATGGAGAAGCTGTAGTCTTAAGAGTGCATAGGGTTTTTTTGATTGAAGTTTTGATGCTTGACTGAATTTGGGAGACTGAGTTTGCTGGAAAAAAGTTCCCAAATAACAGTTAGTTTGATCAATAATTAAATGAATTATGTTTATGAACAACTAAGATAATGAAGTGAATCTCTAAAAGAGAATACATTTAAATTGGAAATGTATGTCACGAACCGCAGAGGATGGGTAATGACCCGACTCAAGTGTCAGGGTTAAGCTTCGGACTTGTGTAATCGTGTCTCCCTCTAGTGGCTGGTGACAGTAAATAGTTGGGCAGTATCTTTTGGAAGGTGAAGACACTACGGTATAATGCCAGCTGGCCATGTTAATGTCCCCATTAGGGATGCAGCTTCAGTTCAGTACATGATGCCTTCTAGCATTTTTCTGTGCCTGCCATGGTTTAACCCCAGCCGGTAACTCAGCACCACGCAGCCGCTCGCTCACCACCCCCCCCACCAGGCAGGATGGGGAGGAGAATCAAAGGAATGTAAAACGCACTGGTTAAGAACAGTTGAATAACTAAAAGTAAACTATAGCGATAACAGAAAGGATGCCAACAATAGTACTAATAATAGGAAACAACAAAAGCAAAGAAATGAAAGCTCAGAAAACCAAGTGATGCACAACACAACTGCTCATCACCCTGAGCAGCGATCAGGCCCTTCTGGGTAACTACCCCCAGATTCTACTCTGGGCATGACGTGCTGTGAATACTCCTTTGGCCAGTTTGGGTCAGGTGTCCTGTCTCTTCTTCCTCCTGGCTCCCCGTGCCCCTCCTCACTGGCAGAGCATGAGACTGAACAGTCCTTGATCAGAGTAAGCATTATTTAGCAACAACTAAAACACTGTGTGTTATAGGCATTGTTCTCAGACTAAAGCCAAAACACAGCACTGCACCAGCTACTAGGAAGAAAAATAACTGTCAGGGGTAAAACCAGGACAGGGCCCAAATAGTCCCTCCACATTTCAGGAATTTCATTATAAACCACAGTTTGTGAAATTTACCTTCAAACTTAATATGAATGGATGAAGGTGGTATTTATAGATAAAAGGAAATGCATGTTGTTGTGAAAGACATTAACTGACAAGCTTAAATAAGTATAAATACTTTATCCCTCTGGTTTTAGCCAGAGTTCAGAAAACAGAACATGATGACTAAGGTGTTCAGTGAACAGGAGAGGGCAGGACGAAGTATCAAAATGCTGTTTTGACAGACTTCAAAAGGAAGTTCATTCTACTTTTATTGCATTCCTGAGGACCTCCTCTGAAAATACTGCAAGCTGTTTCAACTCTGAGACTTGCAAAGTTATGATCTGCTCAAGACTTTCCCAAGACTGCAGCAGGGCATTAATTTTTTCCTGTAAAAACTTCCTGTGTAAATTCTGTCTTGACTATTTGATGGAATGTGCTACTTTTTTTCTAAACCAAACAAGGATGGAAGACTATGCTGTATTTTAAAAGCATTTTGACATGTGACGAGCTGGATGACCACCGTTTGATTGGGCTACTGGTCTAAATTTGGTAACTTTGAAGAACAGGAGTGGAACAGTATTTATATAATTGTGTTTCTTGAAAATGTAGAGCTTTCCAGTCAAATCAGCAGCAATGTAAATTAGCGTAGATCATAACAAACCTGACTGAAAAGACTAACGCTTCAGTATAAATTTTGTCAATTTGAGATTGGTTTCATTTTAGTATTGTAACATTAGAAACTAATTTCTATAAACATCAATAAAAGCCATATAGATAGGTCCCAGAAAGTGCATTAAATATGTCAATTGTATGACTACATTTGTACCATGATAAGTATTCTTTTGTGATTTATTTCAGATACTCTGGAAAGTATTTTGGGATACAATTTCATATATGCTATATAAATAATGCCGTTACGTTGTATGCTTTTAATACATCCTGTATGTAGGACATGAAAAGGATAAATTGCAATAAATATTGTATTTAAACTTTCTATTCTGTTGTGTCAACACTCATTTAGAAATAAACTTGCCTTAAAACCTTGCAAACTCTTACACGATCTTGTTTGTTCAAAACATGTATGAATACAACAGCAGTTCGCCTGGGGCCTTGATGTTTTTGTCAGTGTTTCCTTTGGCAGATGGGCTCGTGAGAACAGAAAGACACTCCCTTATTAAAGACTCTTGTCAAAGCCAAGTAACAAAAGTAGATGAACTCTTTTATAAAATAGAGAACTATTGATTTGCACAGGATAAACAAGAACTGGGCAGCACATCTCTTGCAAAAAACCCCTACGACTTCAGATCCCACAGATAACATCTGAACACATCTGGGATGATGCTCTCCAGGCTTCAGCATGATGACATTGCTATGACTGTGGCCCCTTTTTCTATTTTTTTTACAGTTTATATCCACTCACTGATAATATTTAAGACTGTCACAGTGAAACAATTTACATGTCAACTAAATAAGAAGAGGTCATGCTGCAAACATGACAAAGTGTTACTGGTTTGCAAAGCTCAGCTGAAGAATATGAGGGTTTTTTACTTGAATAATGCTTCCCTGTGAACGTGTATTCAGTGTAAGTTGCCAAGAGGACCTCAAAATCTTGTTGACATCAGTGCTGAGCCTACAACACGGGATCCTAGGAGTGAGGTACTAATGCTTTGCCAAGAGTCTTTAAATCCTTGTTTTGACATCTGAAGACATGGATGGAGGTGCAAATAGGTAAGAAGTTCTCTCCTCACTGCTAAGTCTGTAACTCTGTACAGGAAATCCCTGCTCCACAGAATGGAGTTGTACATGCTGAGAGTTTCACGCCACTTACATGTTATTTCATTCCTGTTCAGCACCTGGGGCTATTTGCATGTGTAAAAGAAGGAATGTTCTTA